GGATGGGTCGCTATGAGTTGGGTCTGACTTGATGGCACATAACAACAACACTTTCATTTATGAATGTGGTGAATTAACTGTAAGGCTTTTTAAAAGTAAATTTCTCCTTAACTCTTGGTATAAAGCCAGCTTGGCAATATTGCTCTTTATTTTTTAAATGTGAATGGACTCAATGAGTTTATATTTTATTTAGGATTTTCACATGCTTGTGACACTAATCTATTTTTTTAATGTTATATTCTGATTTTGATACTATCCTCATAGATTGCATTAAATAATCCCCATTACTCCCCCCCCCCCATTCTCTGGAACAATGTGTATCATATAGCATTTATTTATTACTTTTTGGTTAGCTAAAATTCAGTTATAAAATCTTCTGGATCTGGTACTTTGTGGCAGATATGGGCGTTGTAGGGAAGATATTTGATTACTTAATCTCTTTTGTTGGTACTGAGTAATTTGGGCTTTCTCTTATTGAGTCAATTTTGGGTACATATAATGTTCTAGAAATTTTTGCCTTTTGTGTAAGTTTTTAATTTTATTGTATAAGGTTGTTTGTAATATTCTCATATAATTTTTAATTGTATATTTAATTATGTCTCACTTTGTATTCTTATTGTTGTTTGTTTAAATTTTGACTCTTATTTTCCTGTTAATCTTAAGAAAGATTTGTCTATTCAAATAGAAAATATGTAATCTAAGAATATAATCTAGTTATTGTATTATAAAGATACTTTTACAATATAGCTTATTGTCTCTTATTGCTAGCTCCTCTAAACACTCTACAAATTTCCAAGCTTTATTGTTTTCCTCTGGCTTTTTCTAACAGTGGGAACATTAAAACAATGTCTTCCTAAAGAAGATGAAGACAAGGTAGAAACAGCCTCTGGCATTGACATAGATGAAGAACAGCTAGGACCAAGATCTGATGATGATGATATGTAAGTAGGTCATATCCAGATGCCTAAATGAAGCACTGGTAGAAAGTTAAAACGTTGTTGAGATAAAGGTAGCCAACTGTTACATGTAGTAGAAGCATCAGAATCTATGTGTAGGCCACAGACACTTTATTTGCATAATAGGCCTTAGTTACTTCATTTGCATAAATATATTGACCAATCCCAGCAAGGTGTGTAAAATAGACCAATCACAGAGCAAACTGCAGCCCAGGGTCAGACAAAAAGTGTCAAACCACCAGTTGTTTATGCTTACTCAGGAAATGTCAATCAAACTGGACAAAAGTAACAAACACTCCAGAATAGAAAACTAGGTAAAAGGTAACTTTTCAGGGATTAGGGGGAAAAAAATCTCTCAAGCTATTTTTCTAAAGAACCAAGACAAAAGGCCACATAAGGGAATTTATATACCACATCGACATAGCCTGTTTTACTATCTGCATGAGTTTATTTCTAGGCTCTCCATTTTTTCATTGGCATTATTATCTCTCTCTCCATCAGAAACATCCTATATTAATTACTACTTCATCATAACTTGTTATCTGTTAGGTCTAGTACTCACACCTTCCTCTAGTTGCCACATTTTTCCCTTCAAAGTTACCTTACCTATGTTTACCTTTTACAAACCATATGCATTTTGCATTCTCTTATAAACTATCATGAAAAACTTTTGGAATTGTGATGGAATAATGTCACATCTGTTGATTAATTTATGGGAATTGACATATTTGTGATTATGAATCTTTACATCCATGAATATAGTGTAGCTCTACATTTGTTTATGTCTTCCTTTATAGTCTTTGAAATTTTTTTTATCATTTTCTTCATGGTATAGGTACCATTTAGTTTTTATGCCATTATAAATGGGATCATTTTTCTCCTACTGAGTGTTCCAATTGGTGATTGTTAGTGTATTGATGTTACTGAACTCCCTTATTAGTTCTGACAGTTGGAGTACTTTCAATTTTAAAAATTTTATGATACTCTACTTCTTTAATAAGTAATATATTCACATAGTTCCAAATTCAAAAGCCATGTTCTTTTCACTGTCTTCCTGCTACCTCTTTACCATAGCCACACAATTACCCTCCCCAGAGTCGAGCAATCTAATTTGCTTCTTGTGCACACTTCTCCACAGGAATTCTATTCAAATGTAAGCAAATATATATATTTTGTACATTTGTGTATTTTGGTTTTTATATAAATGCTTTCATGTTGTACACATGTTTCTGTAACTTGCTTTTTTCACTTAACAGTGTATTTTGAATACATGCCTTCATATACCAATACTAGTATCTCTATTGTCTAAATTCCCAAAGCATTAAGTCAAAGAGTGGACATTTGTAATATGAATGTTGTCAAATTGTCTGTCATAAAGATTACACCAATTTACACTCACATCATCAAGGTATGAAAGTGGCTGTTTCACAATAATGATCAAAATTACTGGTCAGATGGAGTCTGGTGGGACACCCAATACTATGGTCCTGGGATATGCTTTGGGCCTGGAATAAAACTCACTCCAAGGGGCTGGCTCTCAGCCCAATAGTAAAAAAGATGTACACGCATACCACTCAACCCAGGGTGACATACCCACATACACTATGGAGATGCATCCCTTGAAGCAATCGACCACGGGACACCAGAAGGGCAACATTCGCATGAAGGAAACACAGGACACACAGGAGTGTATAACTA